TTGTAAGCTCCTTAGAGCTGAGAAGAATTGCTGCAAAAGTGAGTTTCCTGAAATGGACCACTAGACTCCTAAACAACTTAAAAAATGACCCAGTAAAAAGAAAAATCAACCAAAAGAGCAACATGTAAAGAAAAGCAAATAAAACACCCACAAAAGCAAAACAAATTACAGCTAAATTGGTTTATATTATTTAGTGGACTGCTAAATTGGCTATGCCCACCCAGTCACATGATCACCTCACCATGTCCACCCAGCTGGTCCAGCTCCTCCAACAATCTGAATTTGCCCCCTGTTTAAAAAGTTTGAGGACCCCTGTCTTAGAAGATTGTTCTGAAGAAAAGCTCCTTCATGCTGGATGGGCCTGGTGCTCCAGGCAGTGAAGGCAGGAGCCTAATGGACCTGTGTGAGCTGCTGGTGACCTCGGTGGTGGCAGAGGCCCATGACAGGGCCAAGGTGCATCAAGTATGTGAGGGGAATGCACTCCATGTGTGGAACAACAGCAAGACCCATCAGGGAGCTGAGGAGATGACCAGCGGTGACCAGCTCTTCAACCACAAGCCAAAATAGACAGGATGAAGTAGGCAGGCAAATGGTGTCTTGCAACAGCCACGCCGCACCCTCTTCATCTTGTCTTGGCCCACGGCCACAGCAGTCGCCAGAGGCACAGGCACAGTGGAGAGACATGAGTTCTGGTCTGCTGGATGCACCGAACAGTCACCGGCCCTGTCCCAGACACATGGGATGGAACAGGCACATCCGGTGTCTCTGCATCACATACCTCCCCCTTGACTCTGGCTGCTGCCGGTGCTGCTGGTTCCACCTGCCTTATTTTGTCTCCTGTCTCCTCCTGTGTGCACACGCGCCTGCCAGGATGCCATGGGCCCGCCATCTCCTGTGCACATGCATACCTGCCAGGATGGGATTGGCTGGGCCAAAGTAACATGGGCTGAAGCAACATAAGCCGGTTCTTACCATTTCCAGGGGGGCTGCCCAGGCCAGATCCGACCACATTGCAGGCCGGATTTGGCCCGTGGGCCTTGAGTTTGATAACCCTGCTGTAGATACCTGTTTTGGTGGCTGTATCATGATTATATATAATGGGAATATGGGAAAAGATGAATATTAATAGATTCAAGAGGAAAGTTTACAGGTCACTCTTTTAGGAACTATTGTCTGGACCCAGGACTATTTGGAAGAATCCGTATTGGACTTTTCCTCTGATTGCTGAAAATGCAAAATATCTGCAAATTCAAGGAATAAATGTTAAAGAGCCCCCTCCCAAAAAAATTGGACTAAGATTAAATATGTAGAAAATCAAACTAATAACAGATGAAGCAAATATCTGCAGGATTGACAGTGAAGATACAAGTAGTCCTCGAATTATGATCATTTGTTTAATGACTGTTAGAACTTCCAAAAGACTCCTCCCCCCAAAAAACATACATATGAACCAATTCCAAAGTTCTGACAGATGCCTTCCCAATCACATGACTGCATTTTGGGCACTTGCCATCCAGCCCTCATTTATGCCATTTGTGGTATCACATGATAACATGACCATGATTTCTGACATTTTTGTTGAAAACTGATGTTTACTTCTGCTTTTCAGCAAAAATGTCACATAGCGATAATGAGCACAACATTTGCTTAACAGCTGCTGCAAAAACACTTTTAAAATGGGGTCTNGCCACCTGGTGGCCAACCAGTCTCTCTCCGCCCTGCTCGGAGTCGGAACCCTGTCCAGGGTCCACCACATCCTCCAGGGCCGACTCATAGGGCCCCTCGCTGTCGGAGTCTGGTGGCAGCTCCAACGGCTCCTGCTGGGCTACAACAGAAAGGGTAGCAAGTTCTAAAAAAAGCAGACCATGTCTCAGCATCCCTTCCCGGAAAACATGATCCCTGGTGGCACAGTGGTTAGAGTGCAGTACTGCACTCTATTTCTGCTGATCACTGGCAGTTTGGCAGTTCGAATCTCAGCAGGTTCAAGGTTGACTCAGCCTTCCATCCTTCCAAGGTGGGTAAAATGAGGAGCCAGATTGTTGGGGGCCATAGGCTGACTCTGTAAACTGCTTAGAGAAGGCTGCAAAGCACTGTGAAGTGGTATATAAGTCTGAGTGCTATTGCTATGATGCTTACATATGCTGCAAACACCAATCTCTTCAGAGCAGGATTGATGGTATTCTTGTTTTTTTCTGAATGGTAGAAGCAGAATGGGGTTGTCATTCCCACCATCTCAGTGAAGCACATCAGTCACAGAAGATTTCTGGCTACTTTTCAATTGGATCAAGTGTTAAAAGGAGACCAGGACTTGTACCGCTGTGTGACTCAGTCTAGCAGGGGCTCTGGGGTCAGTAACTTTGCCGAGCTGATCGTCAAAGGTATGTATCAGAGGGTGTGTTGGGATTGGCTTACGTGCTTAGCCTGGGCAAAGTCAGGCCTAGACATTTGAAGTCCGAAGAACGATTTGAATTCTATTTGTCAGTACAGGTAGTCCTCGACTTACGACCTCAACTGAGCCCAAAATTTCTGTTGCTAAATGAGACACTGGTCAAGTGAGTTTTGCCACACACGTTGTGACTTTTCTGGCCACTGTTTTTAAGTGAATCCCTGCAGTTCTTCATTTATTAATATCGTTGCTAAGTGAACCTGGTTTCCCCATTGAGCTGGCTTGTCAGAAGGTCATCAAAAGAGGACCACAACGGGATCCTTGGGACCTTGCAACTGTCATAAAGAGGAGTCAGTTTTGCCAAGCACCTGAATTTTTAAATCACATGACCATGGGGATGCCGCAAAAGTTGTCAGTGTGGAAAAAATGGTCATAAGTCACTTTTTTCAGGGCCGTCGTAACTTTGAACGTTCACTAAATGACCGTTAGGTAGGTCATTTAGCCGGTAAGGTAAGTCAAGGACTACCTGTAAGTGAGAGATCAATTGTGGGGGCTGATGTCAGGCGGAAGCAACCAGAACCACTCATGAAATGTCTCAACAGGAGTTTTATTGCCAGTCACCTATGTCAGTGTTTCTCAACCTTGGCAACTTGAAGATGGCTGNCTTTTCCCCTTTTGAGTTGTTCGCCACCCTGAGTCCCTCCCGGAGAAGGGCGGCATACAAATAAACTAAATCTTAAATCACTTTGATTATTATTTCCTAAAATGATTTGCACCCAGACAACACACTGTTCAATTGAAACTGGGGGTTTTGCAGGCTGAAAAAATAAAATAAAAACATATTACAAAAAAAAAAAAGAACCGTGATTACAGAAGGGCAGAATTTCCACGTCCCTTTATTTCTCTACATTTGTCTAACAATTCAAATGAAGTTAAAACTGATTCCGCAATGAAGGAAAAGCTGTATTGCTTTTAATGTCTGCATCGCAATATTTCAATTGTCAAGTCAACTTGGTTCCATTTTCAACTTGAAAAGAAGTGCAAGAACTCCTACTTTTTTTTAAATAAATGCAAATGGATAGAAAGTTCTAAAACTTGTCTGAAAAAAAATATTCTTAGATGATTTAGGAGCCTGAAGAAGTGATTCTCTTTTTTTTCCATTCTATCTTAACATAAAAGAGCTGTGAAATTAACATCAGATCATTATTCGTTATTCATAAAATATGTATAAAAATTACTCTCAAGTGTATGTGTTAGTGAGCAAGTTGTTCCATTATCACATGATGGAACAAATAAACAGATTGTAGGTGGCCTGGGTCAGACAGATTGATTAGAAGACATTTCATTAGATGATAGTTGCTAAAATTCACTGAAACACCCTTTCTTTACAATCACTCATAGAAAGACTCATGACAGATCATTTTTTCTTCTCCTCTAATTACTTGAAAAATAGACACAGAACAATTTCCCTCGTCTGTCTCCATTTCTTGGATCGCTGCCATTTTTCATTCATTTAACAATTTCTTTTCTCCCTGTGAATTGGGTGCCTGGATTTCAATAAGTTGTTTGTCTAAGCATCGGGATGGAATAGAAATATTATGTGCAACCATCAATTCGGAGGAGATGACTTAATAGTTTGGCTTGTGATGTGTGCGGGGCGTACATATGCTGCAAAGGAATTTTTCAAACTTATTGCGAATGTTTTCAAATTCTGATGACTGAAGGCAATGACAAATTATACTGTGGATCGAAGTATCATTCTCAAATGATACTATTATTTAGTATCAAGATCTTGTCTTAATACCTTGGGTATTAAGATCTTGCCCTTGTCATGGTCTGATCACTTCCTACTGAGGCTTGACTTTCACTTCCTACTGATCCTGATCACTTCCTACTGAGGCTTGACTTTC